AGAGTTGTTAGTTTCTCCTAGTATCCTGGCTAATAAAGATAAATGATTATTTATTCACTTCATGGCTGTTTGTAGGACCTTGTGTGGCTGCCCTATTTGCTACATGTAGCTATCAGCGTGCAGAAGAAATCTGTAATTTAGAGCTGTATAGTGTACAATTTGAATTTTGTTCAGCATGTCCATTGAACATAAATCATCCTATGTCTATGAGTTTGTAAAATAATTTCTGGAAGAACAGTGCTGAAGACGTACCAAAAAGCACCCAACTTTCCCAGGCTTTTATACATGTGCATTAGTTCCGCTACAGTCAAACTGTTAACATGGATTCTCTGTGCTATGTGAGCTACAATGGAAGCTGCTGTTCGAACTAATCAAGGCATAGTCTGCATTCAGCCTCAGTCGTCCATTTGGATTAGACGTTATGTTGCAAATCTGAGTGCACTTTCCATTTGTTTCTAATGTGATTACTTCACAGAGAATGCAATTGTAACATTGACCAATGACAATTTCTTCAGTATATTTAACAGAGAAGTTTATCAGTTTAAAACTTAATAGCAGAATGATGTACTGTAAGAGTACATTAAGATGTAATTTTGAGGATCAGTATCTTCAAGAAGTTAAGAGAAACAGATGGTCGTTTAATCATTAAAGCACCAACTGTTCCAAAACGTTTCTTGCATGAATAATCAATTATCTTTTGAAAGAAACAATTATTCAGCAGTGTATCCACATTATCATCTGATGCACATTTTTTATAGCAGCAAAACCATAGATGCTAAATAGTATAGGTTGCTTCCAAACGTTCCTTCATTTTCTATTCAGTCAGGTTTCAGGAAATCTCAATAAAACTTCCATTAGTGAAGGTGTTCCACAATTGTATTACTGGATGTCCCTGTGAGTTAACTTTATTAATGGCAACTTGCACCCATGACTGAAATATTTTTAGTAGGTCAGGATTGATTGGATAATAGTAAAATATTTTACCCCAAAATGTATTAACGCTTTGGTTCAATTTAGGTGTCCCCCACAAAGAGTGGGATAGAACCACATGGCATCAATTTCACTACGTGGCAATATTAATTCCAATTGTATGAAGAACAAAGTGCTACTATGTAATGATTTCACAAGTAATTCAATAATTAAGCTCCAATACTTCCCTCCCATGTGCCACTTGGAGGTTCATCTGCTGTTTAATATCTTCATCAAGTGACAGTTACCAAACCTATCCAGTGCCAGAATTAGCTTCGCCTCAGATTGGAGTTTTCAATTAACCTTTAGCTTCCTGAAAATGCTTTTAAATGCACAATAGAAATCCATGACTAGAAGCCTAGGAGACGTAAAATCCTAAGGAAACACTCAATGCTTTGCAGAACAAGCAGTTTTCCATATTAATTTATGGCAAGCTGTAAGAGGAACCATATGCCATTAGTTTAAGAAATTTATTGGAATGTTGTCATTCTCTATTTAAACTGCCTTTTTTTGGAATTAGCTTGCAGAGCAGACAAACGCAATGTGGATTTCACGCTTCTTCATCAGAAAATAATAATAATAATCCTTGCATTTTATATAGCGCTTTTCACGTCGGGAGGACGCCCCAAAGCGCTTCACAGAACACACTGTAAAGTGAATTGATTGTATATTTGTGGGCAAACGCGGCAGCCAATTGCGCACAGCAATATCCCACAAACAGTCGTAGATTGAAAATGACCAATTTATTATTGTTTTTTGTTTTGGAGGGATTATTATTAGGCGTGTGGAGTAAGGAAACTCGCCCAAGGTTTCGCCCTGCCTGGAATTGAACTCAGGTCTCTCACTTGCAAAGCGAGTGCCCTAACCACTGAGCTACAGGACTCCACAGGTGGCGTAATATGATGTGAAATGTAAAGATTTGAAATTAAAAAATCAATTCTTGCAACCAGACATCAAAATAAATCCACTCGCTGAATTCAAACACCCACTGAAGGAATTCTGAATGGTCTGCAGGGGGAATCTATTTAGAAGTGTGTATGTGTGTTGGTAGGGGGAGGGGGACGTGGAAAATTCCCAAATTTAAGTCAAATGATCGCATTTTCTGGCCTTGTAATAATAATATAGCACATTTTGCCCCGGGTATTTAACACCATGTGGCTTACTGGGTCTTCCTGGCTCATTAGCAGCACTTGGAGGAGCAGACCAGTCACTAGGGGAAGATATTCTTCTTGCTTGCTCCTGTTGACCCAACAAGCCAACCCCAAAGAGTTCTGGTGGGACAAACTTGCTAGTGTTGTATTAAATTGAAGTAAATATGTTTATGTATAGATTTATCGATTGCAAAATATTTTAACCCATTATTTTATTGTTCACTATAACTTAAATGTTGAATCATGTTTTTAGATCTTTATCAAACCAGTGAGGGGTTCTTAATTACTGTAGTTTTAAGCCTGAGCATATATACATCATTCAATTCATTCATCCCTGTAATTTACCTTGCCTATCACATATGTGACTTTTATTTTAATTGGTATACAATTACAGGAAATTTATTCTAGCATGTTCCCCAAGTATAAGTGTAATTTTGGTTCAGTTAGTAGCACTCGCACCTCTGGGTCAGAAGGTTCTGGGTTCAAGCCCCATGTCAGGAACTTTATTATTATCATTTGAGCTCATCTAGATTGATACTCCAGGGAGGTTTGGGAGAGCTCTGCATTCTTGGGGGAGTTCTGCATTGTTGGGAGATGATCCTTAGTTTGGGAAGTAAGCATGGTCTCCTTGACACTGAACTGGTTTCAAAGTGATATGCTTGTCAAGGGAATGTCAAAATGGAATCAACTCTCTGTGATAGTCTCGGTAGTTCGGTTCCTGAGCAAGATGGGTCCGCAGGATTCCAGGGCACTGCTGATGATAGACCAGCAAGCCTAGTCTATCGGCAGTATGTGGAGGGACAGACCAGTCACTGAAGACAGGCATTTTTCCCAATCAGTTCCTTTTAATCCTAGAAGTGGAATCACCACAGGTAATCTGGCCCTAGCTGGATAAGGAGTGAAAAGCTTGACAGATTTCTTTCAATGGCAAGCTATGCAGTTTTAGCTAGTTAAACTCCAGCAAAACCCCATTGAACACTCGGGGGTACCCAAACCTTGACTCTTGCCAACCAGCACTAATGCTCTCCAGAATTAGGTAAGCAGATGCATCCCTCAAGGGAGAGGGCACATTCTATTCCAGATTTAGGGACATTTCCACGTGCAAGTGGCAAACATGGAACTCTCAGTTTTATCGATTGCAAAATATTTTAACCCATTATTTATTGTTCACTGTAACTTAAATGTTAAATCCTGTTTTTAGATCTTTATCAAACTAGTGAGAGGTTCTTAATTACTGTAGTTTTCTGCATGGGTCAGACATCCAGCAGACTAAAAAAAGTGCTGTCCTTCAGATGAGACAGTCCTATCTGTTTATTAAAGTGAACATTGCAAGTTCTCTGCAGTTGTAACTCACTAGTTCACACTCAGGGTCTGGATCCATAAATAGCAACTGCAATTTGGAAATAATGTTTCCTACCATTAATCAAAGGAATGTCATGGTAACCAGCAGGAACTCTGTTCCAGAGGTAAATTACATCTGGGCAGAGTCCCTGGCACTTCTACTTATCAACAAGAGAGTTTGATTTACAAATTGGGAGTAATTGCCACAGTTTCAACTCCATTATAACTTTTTGCCAGATACTTGTTTGGTAACAATATGAGTCTGAACAGAATCTTTTATATATATCCCTGAACAAAATATTTTATGTATATTTTGTATATCCATATTTCTGTTCCAGGGAATTAGTCAGAAGCAATTTATCAATTCTGTATTAATTTCCCAAAAAAGGGTTATGATTCAGCTATAACGATGAGGTGAAAGTCTTTCTGCCAATTATACGCAAGTGTTTTTTGAATACATATCAACCAACAAGTAAACTTGGATGTGAATGTAAGGTACCTTGAATACTCACTGAGTATGTCAAAGCAGGACAAACCAGAGGATGTGAAGTTGGACGTACAATCAACAAGATCAAAGAGTACAGTAGTATTCAACAGTAGTATTGGTCAAAGTATCCTTCCTTGTTTGTCATCCAATACTATCTCTGTAAAGCGTTCTAAAACATTGTCCTACATGAAGGGTGCTATACAACTGCAAATTGTTGTTGTTGAAAGTGTTGGCAGGAAAACATTTCCAACCTCCTGATAATAACCTCCTGATAAACTTCCAGGCAGGGCGAAACCTTGGGCAAGTTTCCTTACTCCACACGCCTAATAATAATCCCTCCAAAAAACCCAAAACAATAATTAAAAATTGGTCATTTTCAATCTACGACTGTTTGTGGGACATTGCTGTGCGCAATTGGCTGCCGCGTTCGCCCACAAATATACAGTCAATTCACTTTACAGTGTGTTCTGTGAAGCGCTTTGGGACGTCCTCCTGACGTGAAAAGCGCTATATCAAATGCAAGGATTATTATATTATTATTATTATTATTAATATTACTGAATCTGGCATGTACGATTTGCAGCATAGCCCAGGTTGATTGCCTATTGATCTTCCCTGCCACCCCACTTTATTACTATCCATGGCTGCTAACTGATGGATAAAACAAGCATCTTAACCAGCATGCAAACAAACCACTTTGAATGTCCGCCAAATTTAGCATCCCCCCCACCTCCATCTGCTGAAGGCATTTGACTATTTATTTCTAGAAGTTGGTTTCTCAGGCTTAAGGCACTCTCTAGTATCCTTACATAAGTGGCCATTCATTTGCAAGGCTGAACACTAAGGTTAGCAAGATATTCCACCACATTGGTGATCAGATCCACAATTGATCACATCCTCACCCAACACAACACTTTACAGCAGGAGTCAGTATATAGTGATTGGCAGTCATTGTTGAGTCAATGGGGAAATCCCAATGTAATATTTTTCTTCACTCAATTCTCAGTTCTTCTAAAATTTGGATCAAATAAAACACTGATGACTGACACAAGTTTGTACATCATTAATAGAAATTTATTTCAATTTATAATTGCATTTCACTAAATTGTGAGATTTTAACTGTTACATTTGATCCTAGAAGAACAAAACAAAAAACAAAAGGAAAAACAAGGAAAAAAAGATCTGTGGAATAACAAGCTCTTGACTGAGTGGTTGGCGATGAAACTCAATGGAAGATAATACACAGAACTATTTTTCTATCCATTCACATTTTACCCAATAACAAAGTAAATAAATGGAATATGCAGTAACAGTCATAATTCTCATATAAAACGCTCTTGACAGTTTGTTCATAATTCAGCAAAACACTTGCATTGCCTTAACCCCACACCAAATTCAGGGATTTCTGGGTACATAACTATACAGGTTAGAAAGTAGACTCTTTCTGTGACCAGGATTTATGGCTATAAAATCCTCCTGTCTTTTTGGAGGAAAAAATTAAGTTTGTTGAACACTGTTAAATGTTGCACTTTTCCCCTCACTAATATCTCAAGAAGCTAAAAGGTATGAGCCTAGGTTAATTATTCTCTTCCTCACGCAGGTGCTGGAACACTGAAGAAAAGTCTTTCTGGGCATAACCCTTTGCACACATCATCCGGTAAATCTGATGAGACAAGGATCCTAATAGAACTGGAGTTTTGGAGTTTGTGGCTGCGTTTTGTGCCAATCCCAAATCCTGAAAAGAGGAAAAAGGAAAGAGTTAAACATTTTATTGAACCTTTGTGCTTAGAACTTACATTGTGGCCTTGTTCTGGTCAATGTTATATTAAGTGTAATCTGTTATTTACATTGCACACAACATTTCAGCTCACTGGTTGTCCTGTTTGGAGAGCTGACATATGGACATTGGGGAATGCAAGACTGGGTTCAGCTGTAAAGCTCCCCCTCCCCATGGACAAATAACCAATCAGTGCTCACTGTCCAGGATCACAAATGGAGATCGCATGGCACTATTCCAAAAGAGAAGGGAGTTACTCCCAGTATTCTGGATAACAAACCACCAAATTGGTCATTCAATTCAGGATTGTTCAAGATCCTCGTCATCACTTTTAAAGCATTCCAAGGCCTTGCTCCTCCCTACTTCTGTGACCTAGTAAACTACCAATTTGTTGTTGTTATTGAGTTAGTGCATTCAAGAGAGGATGGGGGAAAACTGGCAGGGAAAGGGCAAATAAAAAAGAAAAACTACCAAATGCTTTGAGGAATCTGGGATTTGAATTCTAAATGTGTATGAAGGAGATGTATACATTAGGGATTCTTCCTATTGGAGAGAGGAATGGTGCAACACATTGGAATTCCAAAGCAACTTGGTAGCAGTGGTACAAATTTCAACCTCTCCACATGGGAAGCTCCTGATCTCATCCCTGCAATCTCATGAGAGGGCCAAGTAACCTGTCACCTCCCCACAAATAAGTGAATCAATATGTAAGTCAGACAAAGTCAGATTGTCCCTATCAGCCAAAATATCACACATTATGAAGAAATGAGAAAAGCAGGGAAAAAATCCACACTAAACCCAGCAGGTTTCCACAAGACTCACCTTTGCTCTGCCTTGGAGTGATGTATACCATTACATGTGAAGTGCACCGCGTGGTGAGTTCTTTGTTGAATGAAGCGCAAGGAGGATGACACTAAGCTGAGTTCAGCTGCTTCCTCATAGATAAGAACAGAACAACATGCCGAGGAGGAAGTCACCTTGAGATTCCTCTCAAGCACCTCATAGCTGCTGGGTTCCAAAATGGCATCAACAGACCATTGAGTGTGAGCAAAGTCTCTCCCGTCCTTCATCAGATTGACAGTGACCCAATGGGGATCGAACAAAGAATGGCCTATTTTAAAAAATACATACCTTTGCCATCAGTGCTGTGCTAAATCCTCCTTGATAATCATTAGCAGAAGGGACGCCCGCCATCACTCCTGGCACAGGGTTGTATGTGTCACTTGACCAGCATCGACCCGAGCTCATATTCAGAACTTTCGCCAGGAGCTTCTGGTCAAGCCCTAGCCTGTCAGAAGTCACAGATGAGCAGTTTCAGTGTCAAAGTGCAAGCAAGGCTGACCAGTTATCTGCTATTTGACCCAACACAGTCATTTGTCTCATTCTAGTGCCCGTCTTCTAAAATGATAGAGCATTCATTTTGGATTTATGACACAACATTAAAGTGATTCTAAGTCAGTCCAGCATATACAAATTGAACGAAGCTATTAAATACACGGTCAATAAACTTTAAAGAGATGGTACCCCTTCTGGTGACTTGTACAGACTGAATACAAAAGGCATTAAATATAATGCTTGTACAACATTTCTTTTTCCTTATTCTAGTCTTCTCTAACGACAAAGCTGAATTGTTAGAATATGCAATTAGCTGGACATTAAATGCTTGTTTTAAGATATCTATAAATGTACACACATTACACTCTTATATTGGTTACTCACAATTATTTTCAACTTCATCTGCATTTTATCCAAAGTGAGCAATTTAATGCTGGGCACAGTGTGGAACTATTTCATAATGGGATTATATAATGTCTGTGGCAACTCAACCAACCGCAACACAGTGAATATATCATGCCTATGTAATAACTAATCACAGGATATGAAAAATTTTTTGAATGGCTTATGCACCAAAAAAATACACTGTAACGTAAATTACATTTTCTCCAGGAAGCACTGTAGTATCACTTCGACTTACAAGACTTGGGCTCCAGAGAACTCAAGTTGCAAGTCAGAGTCCCTCTGAAAGTAGAGTTTGTATCATGTACAAGGACTTTAAGCATTTTAAAATTGTTTTTAAAACAGTATAGAATTTTTCATAAAAGAACTTTTCCCATTTGTGGTCAAAGAAAGGATAAAAATGGGATAAAAGTGTATCTGGTGGCTGCAAAGGTCTCAAGTGAAACATTTCAGCACATTTAATCCATTTCTAAATGGCTTAAGGTCCACAGGAAAAAAAACTGTTTTGCAACTCAGCACTAAATTGTCCTCAGATACACTGATCAGAAGATTGTTTGTTAACGGAAATGTTAGACCACACATCTGACATGGAATCACTTTAAATGTAGTATTTAAGTCCTGTGGAGTCCTGTAGCTCAGTGGTTAGAGCACTCGCTTTGCAAGCGAGAGACCTGAGTTCAATTCCAGGCAGGGCGAAACCTTGGGCAAGTTTCCTTACTCCACACGCCTAATAATAATCCCTCCAAAACCAAAAAACAATAATAAATTGGTCATTTTCAATCTACGACTGTTTGTGGGACATTGCTGTGCGCAATTGGCTGCTGCGTTCGCCCACAAATATACAGTCAATTCACTTTACAGTGTGTTCTGTGAAGCGCTTTGGGACGTCCTCCCGACGTGAAAAGCGCTATATCAAATGCAAGGATTATTATTATTATTATAGTATAACTCCATATAAAATATTTTGCCATATGTACAGGGGAAAGCTTCTTGTGATGCTGGCATTTTAAATTTAGGTCTATATTTCTCAATCATGACCTTTTTTTTCCTCATCCCTATTTATAGGGACGTGGAAAAGGAGTCCTGTAGCTCAGTAGTTAGAGCACTGGCCTCTATTCCCGCGTTCGATTCCCGGTAGGGTGAAACCTTGGGCAAGTTTCCTTACTCCACACGCCTGATAATGATAACAATAATCCCTCAAGAAAAAAAATAATAAATTGGTTACTTCAATTTACGACTGTTTGTGGGACACTGCTGTGCGCAATTGGCTGCCACGTTTCATCCACAAATATATAGTCTATTCACTTTACAGTCTATTCTGTGAAGCATTTTGAGACGTCTAGAAGACGTGAAAAGTGCTATATTAAATGCAAGGATTATTATTTATATTTATTTATGTTTCGCCCACAAAATACAGTCAATCTACTTTACAATATATTCTGTGAAGTGCTTTGTTATATTATTATACTGTAGACAGGAACCAAAGGATTCAGCAACAAGATCCTGAGTACATAGCTTTGCCTAGAAATACACAGTCATTCCACTTTACGCTAAAAGCCCGTGAAGGGCTTTGCGAGATTCAAGAATGTGATAAGGTGCTATAAATAATGCAAGGATTATTATTTTATAAGAAGCACAAAATATGTTCTAGTAGCTCCATCCCAACAAATCTGTCATTTGCTGGTTATGGGTGGAGTTTATTGAAGTCGACTGTTCTGTGTTCAAAGAATGAGTGTGAGGCAAACGGCAAGTAACATTCAATTTCCTTTGTCAATCTCTACATTAAAATTAGTGCTTCAAAGTAATTCACCAAAACCGAAAGTGGCATTACGATATCTGAAAGAGAGGCCAAGATAAGGATACTGTCCCTCAACCAAATAAAAGGACTCAATGCTGTGAAAAGCACATCATGCCAGGAATGGCACTCAATGCTGTTGCTGCTGTTGGGAATCATCATCATCAAGAGTAGCTTCTGAAACCCTCATTCGTGCTTTCGTCCATAATTGGACTTTAGGTATGATCTTATAGAATGGCGGAACTAGCTCAAGGGGCTGAAGGGCCTACTAAACTACTATGTTTCTATATAGGACATAACTCAGAGGTTTAAACTCCAATATACAAAGGAAATAACTGAAAAATGCACTGAACCACAAATTGCTACTACAAAAAAACTGCATAAAAGCATAGAAACTTGGAAGGTTTGCCTGCACTAAAAATTAAAAAAGAATGAGAACAAAAGGGAACTATGAATTTTTCTACGCTAATCATGGCTGAGTCTAATAACCAAAAATCACTTACTTCATAAGAATAGAGAAACACGGGAACAAAAGGACCATTCAGCCTATCAAGGCCAAAGCTTCCACAGACATGTAAAACCTTTGTCCTGTTATGGACTACAGCCTGCATTTAATGGCCATGATGGAAAATTCTGCATAAATATTTCATGATCTTCAAAGGTAATCAAGCAGAACTCCAAGACATTCGTTCCCACATCTCCACAATTCAACCTTGGCAGCCGTTTGCGCAGACTATACACCCATCCAACTGCAACAGAACCATCATATCCAGTGGACTATTTAATCATTTTCAGAGTTATATCTGTAACTTTTGATTCACTCCCCATCCACATACCTACCCAACTTTTTGGTTTCTGGTCAGTTTGTTTTTTAAAAAAAACACACAATACAGTGGGATTGTTTTGCTGCTAGGAGTCCACTCCACATATCCACCAATCTTCTTATCTTGAATATTGCTGGAGGGATTTTATTTTGAACCTGCATTCAACTAAGAATGACTTTGGATAAAGTACCCATGCCCCAGCAATCAAAGTGTTTACTTAAAATAACATGCAGAGTAATAATTTACAAAAATGACATAGTACACAAATATTTGGATTGGATTGTGTTACAGCCTATAATTCATACAAAACCGGTTCTACTATTAAATATTTATGACAATATAATTTTCTCTTTCTTTGGATCCTGTTTTGGCGAGTTAAGGAGTCATCCCTGACAGCCTTTTGAAGCAGTCAGTAGGTGTATTTGATATAAAACTGCCTATACTACTACATTCAATAAATAAGTCATTATAGACTTCACTTAAATCACTCAATTCCAAAACAACTGAGCACTTTCATGCCTAGATAATAGATTGGTTGCACTGTAGCTAAAATCAGGCAATATCTTCCAAAACATCTCACATCACCAAATAACTACAAATTAAATACATCTAAATCTTTTCATGCCTGGCCTGTATGTGAACAGCTTTGTGATCTGTCTTAGCAATTGTCTCGTGAATCTATTTGCATTACCTTAGTACCAACATCTGCCTCCTTATTATTTTAAACAATTCTAAAAAAAAGCCTCTTCCCCCACAAACCAATTCGCTCCTCCATCTCTTCTGAAGCAGGCAGAATCATGCTAGACTGCGAGAGTATAATTTAGTGGTAGACAACATCTTATGATGCTTCATCCAAGTGTTCATTCATATGAGCCTAGATCAGAAGTGTTGACAGACTACAATTGCAGGTCACATCACAAGAAAACCAAATTCTGTCCCGATATCAATATGCACACATATTTTCCCACTGGGATCACTGAATCATGATCCTGCCTAATTTCCATGGCTATGGCCCAGAGTGCTGAAGCTAGTTATTATGACTTGGCAGAGATTTACTAAATTAACACTGATAGGGTATCTAACCTAGGATTTACCTGGTCTGTATGGCTTGCTTACATACTGGACAGTGCCTTTACTAAATGAGCAAAGTTCCAGGTGTACTTTATTTTATCTCAGTTTTAAGGATGACCGGCTTGTCAGTAACCAATGTTTTACTCTAGTTGAAGTTACAAGACAATTTACATTTTGTTTAACATACATCTCATTATGAATTCAGGTGGGATATACAGAGAAACTGCAATGCAGAACAGCAAAAGAGGCTTTGCAAAGTTTATTCCCCATTTGTAAAGTGTGAAAACTTTTTTTTAAAATGCCATAGCTCAAGGATTTGAATCTGATTCTATAGAATTCTGATAACTCTTTTTATTTAAATTGCAATCTATTTGAAGTACTAAAATAAAACTATTTCAAAATTTTGGAGTCAGAACAAGGTTATATTTAACAAATAAGAAAACACCTCCATTGTATGTTAGATTATAGTGAGAATAACAGAGAGCATATTTCTTCTGAAATTAAAATGACTTCCTTAGTTTTTATATTTTATACTTCTGTTCTTCACCTTGATAAACAATCAGGAAAAATAGTTAGATCTAATTGGGCCCCGAACGCCATAAATAATATAGTCTATGCTATAAGCAGGCCTTTAAAATGAAATACTATCTATTCCAGTTACAAGAGATAACAAAACAGTGGGGGGGGGGAATACAAAAAATCCCACATAATCCCTTCTCAACATCCAATATCTAATTCATAGCAGAAATTGTTTCATTTAAAGATCTCTTTCGGGTAGCCAAAGGACTAGGAACTGAAACACTATATTGTTTTTTATTGCTTCTGAAATAGATACAATTATTTTACGAAGTTTCAGAAACC